GAGGCTGAGGCAAGAGAATCACCTAAGCCTAAGAGCTGAACGTTGCTGTGAGCTGTGACGCCACTCTACCAAGGGTGACAAAAAAAAAAAAAAAAACAGGCAATAGAGGTCAGGCGTGGTGGCTCATACCTGTAATCCCAGCACTTTGGGAGGCCAAGGCAGGATTGCTTGAGGCCAGGAGTTCAGAGACCAGCCTGGGTAACAGCAAGACAGCACCTCTCATAAAAATACAAAACTTAGCTGGGTGTTGTGGTGGGCACCTGTAGTCCCAGCTACTCAAAAGAGACCTAGCTATGAGAAACACTCAATCCCAGGATTATGAGGTTAAAGTGAGCTGTGATCACAGCACTAGCTAGGCCAACAGAACAAAACCCTTTCCCCTCCAAAATAAGTAAATAGCGAGCAATGTAACTGGAATACATACTTCCTTACATGATATAAATAAATATATCTATACAGGCATAGAAGACATACCCCTATACACATACACAAAAATATGCCGGCTCAGCGCCTGTGGCTCAAGCGGCTAAGGTGCCAGCCACATACACCTAAGGTGGCAGGTTCGAATCCCCAGCCCGGGCCCGCCAAACAACGATGGCTGCAACCAAAAAAAATGGCCAGGTGTCGTGGCGGGCGCCTGTAGTCCCAGCTTCTTGGGAGGCTGAGGCAGGAGACTCGCTTGAGCCCAGGAGTTGGAGGTTGCTGTGAGCATGATGCCATGGCATTCTACCCAGGGGGATAGCTTGAGGCTCCATCTCAAAAAAAAAAAAAAAATGCCCATAAATATATATGAGGATATATAAACATATAAAAATCAGGGTAAAAGAACATAAAGGAACTTTCCGAAATAATGAATATCTTCTGTAACTGGATGATAGTGATGGTTGTACAATTTATAATTTACTAAGAAAAACAAAATCAACCCTACAAATTTACTAAGAAAAAAAAATCACTGAATTATAGAGTTTTAATGGGTGAGTGTCATGTTATATAAATTGTATCTCATACATACCAGTATATACCTGTCTACAAGAAAAAGCTAGTACTTTTAATGGGACGACACTAAAGGCTTTTCCACTAAAGTCAAGAAAAGTAAGGACTCCACTACTGTATCACATTATGTAGGCAACAGTCATGCAATTTGACAAGAGAAAGCATCAGAGGCATAGCAACTCTAATTGGGGGTGCAGGTAGCATGGGAGGGAGGAACCATAGCTATCCACTATTTTCAAATAATATACTTAATTGAAAACCCCAATAGAATCCATGGAAAAATTATCCAAAATAAGAAAATTTAGTAAAATAGGAGCACATAAAATTATACAGAAATCAAGTCTTCATATACAAAATAGGAATAGTAAGAAGAAATGGAATGGAGAAAAAAGACAAGAAGACCTCCTTTACAATAGCAAATATCAAAATAGGCTTAAATTTAACAGAAACAGTACAAAACCTATATGAGAAAAACTATATGTTCCTATAAGAAGTAAACAGTAAGAAAATCAAATCATGTTTTTAAAAAAAAAAGACAAATAATATTCTTAGAAAGGAAACTTCAACATCATAATGCAATCCTAATGAAAATACCTTTAAAGTTTTATTTTTTCCTAAAGCAAAACAAGTTGATTATAAGTTTGAAAAAATAGACTAGCAGGCTCAGCGCCTGTAGCACAGTGGTTACAGCACCAGCCACATACACTGAAGTTGACAGGTTCATACACTTAAGTTGACGGGTTCAAACCCTGCCTGGGCCAGCTAAATCAACAATGACAACTGCAACAAAAAACAAACAAACAAACAAACAAAAATAGCCAGGCATTGTGGCGGGCACCTGTAGTCCCAGCTACAGGGCAGTAAAGTGAGACTGTCTCTACAGTAAATAAATAAATAAATAAATAAAGCCAGTTGTGGTGGTAGGGTGCCCATAGTCCCAGCTACTCAGGAGGCTGAGGCAAGAGAATCACTTAAGCCCAAGAGTTCGAGGTTGCTGTGAGCTATGACGGCTACAGAACTCTACCAAGAGCAACAGAATGAGACTCCGTCTCAAAAAAAAAAAAAAAAAAAAAAAAATAGACTAGCAAAAAAAGCTAAAAAAAACCCCTAAAAATGCAGAACAATAATTAAGGGTAAGTGATATCCCTGTTAAAACATCTTTTAAAACTTCTGGGCTTGGCACCCATAGCTCAGTGCTTATGGCAGCAGCCACATACCCCCAGGGTGGTGGGTTTGAACCTGGCCAGGGCCAGCTAAACAACACAACAACTGCAACCAAAAAATTGCTGGGCGTTGTGGCAGGTGGCTATAGTTCCAGCTACTTGGAAGGCTGAGGCAAGAAATTCGCTGAAGCTCAACCCAAGAGTTTGAGGTTGCTGTTGAGCTGTGACGCCATGGAACTCTACCCAGGGTGACAGCTTGAGACTCTATCTCAAAAAAAAAAAAAAAAAAAAAACTTCTGTAATTAAAACAACACCATACAGATAGACAATTGAACAAGATATAAAAATGCATGCTAATACCTATAGAAATTCAGTATATATGATAAAGAAGATCTCTCAGTCAGTGGGGAAAAGACTTTATGATAGCATTGTTTCACTTATCTATTATGTTTTGTGGCATTTTTTGTTGTTGCTGTTGTTTTGTTTGTTTCTTTGAGACAGAGTTTCTGTCCCTGGGAAGAGTGCTGTGATACCATAGCTCACAGCAACCTCAAACTCCTGGGCTCAAGCAATCCTCTTGCCTCAGCCTTCCAAGTAGCTGAGACTATAGGCACCCTCCATAATACACAGGTTATTTTTCTATTTTTAGTAGAAAATAAGACAATTTTGTTCATTTTTAAATTTTTTTTATCTAGTATCATTGTTTTCTATTGTACTAACTCTTTACACTCAACATTATTTCTGAGAGAAAAATGAATGCTATTGTATCTATCAGTTAATTTTTTTTTTTAAACAGAGTCTCACTGTGTCGCCCTGTGTAGAGTGGTGTAACCATCATAGCTCACATCAACCCCGAACTCTTGGGCTTAAGAGATTCTCTTGCCTCAGCCTCCTGAGTAGCTGGGACTATGGGCACCCCACCACCACAACTGGCTATTTTTACTTATTTATTTATTTATTTATTGTAGAGACAGTCTCACTTTACTGCCCTAGGTAGAGAGTGCCATGGCGTCACACAGCTCACAGCAACCTCCAAGTCCTGGGCTTAGTCAGCCCCCTGAGTAGCTGGGACTACAGGCACCCACCACAATGCCCAGCTATTTTTTTGTTACAGTTTGGCCAGGGCTAGGTTTGAACCCGTCACCCTCAGTGTACGGGACCACTGCCCTACCCACTGAACCACAGGAGCCACCCAACTGGCTATTTTTTTGGTTGCAGTTGTTATTGTTGTTTAGCAGGCCCAGGCCAGGCTTGAACCCACCAGCTTCAGTGTATGTGTCTGGCGCCCTACTCACTGACCTACGGGCACTAAGCCTCCATCAGTTAATTTGTTCCTTTTCATTGCTGCATAGTGTAGGAAAAAATGCAATTTATTTCCCCATTCTATTGCTGATGGACATGTGAGTTGCTTCCAATATTTGGCAATTATGAATAAAGCTGCTAGGCTCATTCCTGCATGGGTCTTTTAGTAGACATAGGCACTTATTTTAGAAAGCCTATAGACCCAATCTTACTAATAGTGAGACAAGAAACTTGAACCTTGCCAGGCACAGTGGCTCAAGCCTGAAATCCTAGC